GTGCGTTTTTATCAAATATTTGGGATTCCATGAGATCTCAAAACGGGAGATGAAATTGAAAATGCGTTATAAGTTGCATTGCTATCTAATTTTTTTGTGTAAGTGGTGGATATTGTATGTGTTTTTATTTAAGAACGGATATCATTTTCAACTTGGCTGGATATTCTCTGTATAGTGCTCTCAAACCTCGACAGGACCATATTCACATATGAACTGTAGTGAGAAGATCCAATCAGGATATCCGGGAGTAAGGCGCTACCTAAAACAGCTTGCATCCGCTTGGACATCTTCGTATTTCAATGCAACATTAAGCGGTTACTGCGCTGAATATTTGAAGTCTGTCTGCATCATTTGTATTCATTCATGGCTGTTGGTTATAATCAGGGAACGGATTTTTAGGACCTAAAAACCTATAAAAAAGGCAAAATAAAATAACGAAATAGGCTGGAAAAGGCACTAGGTATAGCAAAAAAAGGAAAATAAGGCACTAAAAAAAGACAAAAAATACGAACAACAATCAAAAAAAATATTTTTTTTCTTAGAAATGTTTATATTACAAGTAAAAAGAAAAAAACTATGAACTAGTTTCATTATATGCAAAATTTGTACTTTGAATCTTTGACTATTTTATCCTTTCGAGTTTCTAACTCATAAAACTTTAATCTGTATAGTTGTAGTAACATTGAACCACAAGATGCATTTTGAAGTTTTCTGGCAGCATTTTCATTCGATTTTCGCGAAGAAAAGTCTTGAATATACTAAATGTGTGCTCGACGTAAGTTGATACAAGCGGCGCCCAATTTAAATATGAAACGTTTGAAACGTTCATATTATCAGGAATAAGGGCATTTTCCTCGCCTTTTATAATTTTATCCACACCCCTTGTTGTCTCCAAGCCTACGTTAGCTGAGAAAACGGCTTTGAACTTTTCCAACATCAATTTGGCAAGAGGTCACTGCGCTTCTATAAGCCGCATGGCCATGTGTATATTTTTTAATCTTAAAAAAAAAATTGTAAATGCTATAATCACTTTTTTAAAGGTAGAAAAGGCAAAAAAAGGCCACATGAAATGTGTATATATGGAATCAGGGAAAGCTAAATCGTGGACATTCTTAATCGAATATACTTCCATAAAATTCCATAAAATCCGTTCCATAAAATCCGTTCCCTGGTTATAACCGAACAGCCGAAACTTAACGTAACTTAATGCCACGTCGAAATCTGTTTCATTTTGATTTTCCAAGCTCTACGTCCCGTAAAGTTAAGTTACGTTGCCATAATCAGGCCTTTAGTCAGTGCGGCTATGTCGATGCCGTTATAAAGCTCATATGTGCATGTGTAGTTATGTGTCTGCAATAATGCAAAATTCTGATATGGTGCCGGGTGACGCATATGGTTTCTCCAATATACAGGCGCCTTTCCAATTCCCTTGTTTCGACTGCTTTGAAGGGATAAATAAACTCGGACCTATAAAAATCTCTTAGTAATCAAATTCTAATTACTTTTAGGAAAATGTAATTATAGCTTTTCAAACGAATGACTTTCGCTGTGGTACTCAATATTTGTGTTAAAATTAGGGACGTGAATCGGATGAATTGGATTGATCCGTAAAAGCCCTATTTGTGTGTGTCTTTGAGCCCTGGGGTTTGGGTTCGGTTAAACGTCTCGGGAAATCTGTTTAAAATAATGTTCGATGGCTTCAATTTCATTTATATTTTACTAATACAAATTACCCCTTAAACAGGCATCTTCATTATTTTCACCAACACACCGATGACGACTCGCGCTTATCGTTCGACAGGCACAAACGCGCTGATCGATTACCCGTTCTATGATATGGAAATGACAGCACCCTTTCCGAGTAAGCGTTCAATCTCTTGCGATTCGTGCGGAAATGAATGTACGAGCGCATGTGGCACAAAAAATTTTCGGTAATTTGCAGTACTGAGCGTTTTCTCAAATACAAACAATAATTTCATTAGAATCACAAGCTCCTAAACCCTTACCACCATTTTCAACCTTTTCAGCACCTGTTGCTTCAACTACCTGCGCAAGCGTAATGATCCGAACGCCATGAAATCAATCAGCAATAAGCGCCTCATCGATTTCATACTGCTTCAAGGACGCGCTGCGATGTACACCTTGGATGAACATCATCGTAGTGCCGGCGGCGGCGGCGGCGGAAGCGGTGGAGATGAGGGCAGAGGCGCTGGTGTGGATGCTGGCATTGACGGAGATGAGCAGACTTTCTCAGCAACCAATAATGGACGTCGATTTGGCAGCGCGCATTTTCATCACAGAACCGTATAAAGGGCAAAACACTTAGATTATTTTTTTTTTAATTTTATGCGAGTGCAATTTCATGGATTCATATGCA